GTTGAGAGTTTTGCCTATCTGATAATGAGGTAGATAAAGGCTATTGGGAGCTTTTCCCAGTTAGCTCTGTATCTTAGTGTTGCTTAAATTTGCGTTTCTCTCAATATGAGTGAGATATCCATTTTTTATGCTTTGATAGTCATTTTAAAATATTTTCTGGATCATTCTGTTCTTATATCTTGTCTGTTTTCCTGTCAAGCTGTTAAGTTTTTTTCTCTTGATTTTTTGAGCTGTTTACATATTTATTATTCTCTTGCCTATAATGTAAGTTACAAATAATTTCCCCAGTAATGTCATATACTAATAATTGAAATTTTAAATTCCAAATGATTATAAAATGTTATGATATTTTATCCTTTATGATAATATTGTCTTTGATTAAACAGCAAGTTGTTAAAAATAAAGTTTCTTTTTTAATAAATTTTTAATTTCAATATTGTTTTAGATTTATACATTTATTATGAACATAGTACATAAAGTTCCTTATATATCGATTTTTTTCCTATTATTAGCATCTTATATTAGTATGGTAGATTTCTCACAATTCATGAACCAATATTGGTTGTTATTAACTAAAGTTCATACTTTATTCAGATTTCTGTAGTTTTTCCCTAATCTTTTCTACTCCAGGAGCCCATACAGGATAACACATTGCATTTAGTAATCATGTCTCCTCAGGCTCTTATTAGCTGTGACAGTTTCTCATACTTTTCTTGTTTTTGATGACCTTCAAAGTTTTGAGGAATATTGGTCAAATATTTTGCAGAATGCCCCTCAATTAGGACTTTTCTGAGGTTTTTTTCGTGATTGTTTTTGGTGGGGGAAGACAATAGAAGTAAAGTGCTATTTTTATCACATTATATCAAGGGTACCTCCTACCAACATGACATCACTCTTGATGTTAACCTTGATTGCCTGGCTTGAAGTTGTGTTTGTCAGGTTGCTATACCATAAAGTTATGCTTTTTTATTGTCCCTTTTCATATTGTATTCTTTGGAAGAAAGTTACTGTGTGCAGACCACACTTAAGGATTGGGGGTTATGCTTCACCTCCTTAAGGGTAAATTAATTATTTGGAATTCTGCATTGGAGATTTGTTTCTTCTTCTTTATTTATTCCTGTGTTTATTTGTATATTATCTGTGTTTTAATTTATATCAGTATGGATTCATGGATATTTATTTTATATTTTGTGTTATAAACCCAAAGCTACTTTATATATTTTGCTGTTCAAGTTGTTCTAGCTTTGGCTATTGGGAGCTTTTTTGATTGACTCCCTGTATCTCTTTGATGTACCCCTGTTAATTTTGGTTTGTATTTTAGCATTCTCTTACTTTCTGGCAGTATAAAGGTACTCTAAGGTCTGATTGCTGAATTCAGACATTGAAATTTTGATTTCTTCTGGTCATGTAAGATGTGGCATCTTTTGTCAATTTTCAGGCATTCTTTTCATAAATTGAAATCTTTTTATTTGTAAATATCCATTTCTTTAAATTCTTTGCTATATGGTTAATGGGATTCACCACTTTTCTATGCACTGGTTTTCAAGGAACAGTCATAAAGCTTGATGTTTCACTGTACATTCTTCAAGGTTCATTGCAGGTATTTGCAAATATTTTTGTGTCTGGTTAACCCTTCTAATACTTCACACTAGAAAATAGATAGAAAGGAACATTTCACACAGCTGTTATTGTTTATTTCGATGCTACTGTCTAAATATAAGAATATGTAGACCACAGAGGCTGAGAATATGAAATCTACCCAAAGCATGAATCCTCAAGGCAGTTACACATACACTCTCAAAGTGAAGTCAATTGCTGAACCCACAAGCATCAGCATATTGGGATCGGATCACACATCCTGGAGATTCTCTAAATTTACATTTACTAAATTGAAACTTACATATGGATTATTAAAACTCAAGAGAAGCTCAGCAATTGCTTAGGACTTGGACAGGGCTGTTATATCAACGATATCAACAATGTTTTTTAGAATTTGTTGGTAACTGACTTTTTGTTGATTTTATTATTTTATTTTTGCATGCACCAAGGAGTGCACTGCTCCTACTACCTAGCCCTTGGTGTGCCAAGCTGGTTATATTTCTTCACTGTGATTTGCTGATAGTTAACAGGATCTACCTGATAATGTTATTAAGCATGCAGAGTACACAGTACCTGGCACAAAGAAATCAAAATATGCTAGCTGCTAATTAATTGCTGTGGTTTTGTTTAAATTTAGGACTCGTGTAAGGTTCACTCACTAATTGGGTTTTATAGTTTTTATATTGAGAATCTACATCCTTAACATAAAGGATTAATGTAAATTTTAATATGAAATCTAAGTCTCAAGAGTAACTATTATTATTATTATTATTATTATTATTGCTTAGAAATTCAGAGCATCAAATGGGTTATGGTATAACTCTATGAATTATTTTGATTTCCATTCTCTCAGAATGTACAGTCTGGAAATGTCTATGATACTATATTTTCTCTGCTAATCTCTGACTGATGATCTAGTAGCTGAGACAGGAGCTGCAGTCAGTCACCTCTTAAGTGCTGCTTGCTATTATAGCACAGTGGCAGTCCTGTTGAAAACATCATAAATAGCCAAAGGACGGTGTGAGTAAAAAGAAACATAGAAAGGAAGAAGAATAAAGAGTGAACATAATAAGAATATTATAAGAGAAAGATGCTATTGACAACTCCTACTATGTAGCACCAATAATATAGGTTTTCAACTCTATTTCTGGAGAAGAGACGCTAAATTATATTCTTACAAATAAATTAGATTAAATTTAATGAAGTGAAATTATATAGATAAAATTATATTTATGAAAACTTTCTACTATGTGAAGATTTACTATAATGTGAAAAATGGTGATAAAAATGTGCACATTAAATATAGTTGCTTACCATATTAAAAAATTCAGTGCTTAACAAAAATTGAAATAAACATACCTAGTAGTTACTGAGGTAACAAGGAAATAGAAATTATTTTTAAAATACCTTTTTATTAGTTTCAGTGTTACTCATTTTTTCATAAAAAGTGAACATATTCAATACAGAATGGAAATCTATATATAATGTTATTCTAAAATTTTAGTCTATAGAATTTTATCTGTTTGTATCAAGTCCTTTGGTGATACTCACTTAATATAGTTAAAATCAAATTTTAAAAAATATTAACTGCCTAAATCAGTGCTATTTGAGGACCAGCTGCTGGTGTTGAGCCAATTAGTTTTTATAGTGTGAGGATATCCTGTACATTGGAAAAGCTGCAAACTAACCTGACATTAGATGTAGTTATCACAAAAGCCTTTTTACTAATCATCTAGATAACTTTTTATACCCTGCACTCTGAGCAGCTCTTAAATGTGGTATTTAGTTAACCCATGACCCCAGAGCCAACGTCTTTTAAGCACAGGAGACACTGCCTACTAGGGCCAAGGATACTTTTTGGAGCCCACAAAAATGCTTTAATGAATTTATACTATATTTTTAAAATTTAAAATGAATTTATACTATATTTTATATATTACATATTATAATTTATACTATATTATATATAGTACATTCTATTATATATAC